TTACCGTCAGTCTGCACTTAACTCCCGGTCTGCTGTTTTACTGACACAGACCGCTTTTTGAATGCCGATACATTTTTGGTGCGTGATCAGTTGCGTGCCTTGTTTGACACGTTTCTCCAGAACTGTGATTCAACCAGTACAGACTTAAGTCTGAGCCAGATTAAAGTACTCCTTTCGCTTCTACGGTATTAAAACAAAGCAAAACGCTTTCATTGCGGCTCGAAATAAAAGAAAAAACCTTCGATCACTTTGCGGCGAAATATTCTGCAAATGTGGAAGAGTGACTGATGTGTATCAAATGCAAACTTTAAATACTATAGACAACCTAAGGAATGGCGTTTTGCCTCGTTCCTTGATTAAGTAACATACTTACGTACTAAAGAGGAACCAAAGAGGAGTGCACTTAAAATTTGTTGTTTATTTTCCATTTGATGGTAATTTATCGTAGCCGACGTCGACCTTTCAACCGTACCAAATTATTCCGTCCTACTCCAAGCTCTAAACGGCGATAAATACAAATCAACAGTAACACTTTTTGCGCTATATTTTCGATTTCTGGTAAAATAAAAAATACTGATGAAACCTCGACGGTCCCATCTGCTGGTCATTTGGAAATTGTCCTATTAGTTTTCTTTTCGCGCACACTGTGTACACAAGTGGCATGGCCAAAGTTCCCTATTAGCTATCAATTACTCTTCTACTCCAATTCAAAAACCTTATTTAACAAATAGAGAAGCCTTGACTGTGCTCTGTTCCGTTGTAAAGCACGCAGGAAGCGGTTAGAGCACGAAAGAAGTGTAGGGAGAAACATGAGACGTAGAACCAGAAATGTCCATAAACTTCAACTTAAAAAGTGTAGGGAGAAACACAAGACTACGTCTCGTTTTTCTCCCCACTTCTTGAGTGCTCTAGCCGCTTCATGCGTGCTTTAAAACAGAACAGAGCACAGTCAAGGCTTCTCTATTTGTTTTATTATAAAGAATCCGTTAAATTCCCCAAGCATTACTTTCAATTTTCAAAACAAACTTTATTTCCAAAGCGAACAATAGTGATATCAGCATGCTCTAGACTCTCATAAAGCACGTTACAATAAGCCAATCAGAATCCTTGTTATAACTGTTCAAATAATCTGATTGGCTGTACAAGACTGAAGCTGTCAAAAATGTCAAACTATCAAAGTTCAGAAACTTTTGCCTGGAGTCTTTTAGTCTCTAATACAGAATCTGAAAGTGAAATGTTCAGTGAATTCGACCGAGTTGTGGCTCGTAAAAACACGCAAGTTTTTTTACATGACAAGCCGAAAACAAGCTGTTCAAGGCGAATATTTATGAATGAACAGCAACCGACTTCACCGGAAAAATCGGCTGCAGTGACTGATGTGGCCTTCCACTCAACGCATCGGAACGAATATCAGAGCAAGCTCTTATTTTTCCACTCGAAGGGCGACCGATGTAGTTTGTGAGGCTTGCTTCACCGCGATGAGTTAACCACGATGGAACACTGCGTGATCGCTGTCATGACACCGTCATGATTAGTATGAATTTTAACAGCTATGCCAGTTTGGTTAGATCATTCATCATTCCTGTTTTGTCCGGTTTGTTTTTGAACACAAAATTTTATATACTATGACAGTGTTAGCTGTGTTTGATTTTTATTACCTTACGTAAGCTTGCAGTCGAACCGAGCGTGAAAACCTTTAAAACTCGGAGTGTCCATTTGGTTTTCTCTTTGAGGGTTTTCGTCTCTGCTAACGTGAAAATAACGTAAATTACGGCGCTTGGCATGTTTACAAACCCTTATTAGGTTCTTTTATTGCTATTTGCCGACTCGCTTGTTCCGAAATTTCACTTTCAATTAACGGAAAAAAGGTAGAGAGAAGTCTCGGAAAAGGTCAGACATAGTACAATTTGGCAGATGGCGTGACAGCCTTAGCTCGGCTCTATGCTCTATACTCTCATAGAGCACGCTCTTTCAACTGATGACAGCGCGCGTTATATTCGAACTTTATCATAATTTCTAGTGGAGTTCGATTTTAGCTTGCAGCACCTTCGTTACTGTAAAGTTCTTTGGACTATCTTGTGAAGATCCTGGTAATCATTTGCTTCGTCCACACAGCCCATTCCTGTACATCAGCGTCATTGTCCACACAAATTACACCTGCAATACATCTTGCAGTGTGGGGCCAATCTCCATTTGCTCGAAAAACTTGAGCCTGCGATTTTGTTTCGTTTGGTTACGAGAGCTCGAAATAACCTCGTAAAATTTCAGTTCCAACGTTACCAAAAGAGTTAAAAAAAAGTTGTATACACCTTAATGATATGTAAATCAAAGTTAATAAAAAAAAGGCAAGCAAAAACATGTCACAGTCTGGACGGTCTGAATGGAGAGGGAAAATGTGCAGAAAATCGATGGGGATCCTAACGTTTATCGGGGACTGGAGATGAACTGAGGATCTCTTTGAGTGGTCATGTTTCCCAAACAGTTTCCAATCAAAACGAAACTGCTTACATAGCAAAAGACTGTTGTCCTAACGGTGATATTAAGATACTAATAAGAGTGACGAACACATTTTATTGGATGTTATAGAAACCACACAGCAACCGCTTTGATAAAATTCCACAGCATTATATATCTTTAAAAACATCTACCTGCTTTGTACAGAAATTATAACCCAGTGAAACTAAAAGTCTCTAATCAACACAACACGTCTGAACCATATTGGAAAAACTTCAAACGGCATCTCAGTGGAGAGCTTTCGGAATATTCACGATAAAAATTCATTTAAGTGGAATTAAACTTATACAAACTTTGGCGACAACCGTTTCTAACAATTTCGTACGATCACCGCCTCCATCTCTCCCGACCCCAATTCTCCCTGAACCTTCTTTTGTTTCTGCGTTCTTGGTATCTCGGTCATTCGTCTATTAGTTGTACGTGTCTGTCTCGCCGATTTTCATCCTCGGACCAATGCCGTCCAGGCCTGTGCTGATCCCGCCAGTCGTTTCGCGAATCCTGAGGGATACGCGACTCAAATGAACCTGACCGGTTCATTTGAGTATTTATTCGGCATCCTCATCACTCTTCTGTTTGATATTGTATTGATATCGTAAGGAGAAATTTTGTCCAGGGAACTTTAAGGGTTAACGTGGAATTCGACTCTCAAAAGACCTAGTAAGTTAAGCTTGATTGTCCGCACGTTATTTGTTTTGGTGATACCCTATATGTCAAACAACTGAACAACAATAGTTGTAAAAGTCTTGGGGTCGGGGCTCTCTAGTTTTTCCTTGCTTGGCTGTATAATTAATTCGTCTTAGGCCCCCGTCCGTATTCACGCCAGTCAGAACTCGAACCCAGACCCCTCGACCCCGTTCAAGGAAAAAAAGTTCAAGGAACACTCTCTTATTCAGTGTCTCGCATTTGTATGGAATTTTTTAGTCAAAATAAAACAGATGAGGGAAACAGAATGACTAGGATTGTCGATTCTTTTATTTTCATTCATTAATTAAGGGGGAAAATAAAGGAAATTGACTTCTAATGAGAGGAGATCATTAGAATACCATCCCCCCCGTCAGGTGATAAATATATAATGGTCCTTTGGTGCTACAAGCGCGGGATGCAGAAGCTTGATTGGCGACTAACGTCACACCCTTTCTCGCAAATTTGTCTCTCGTCCCAATCTGTTTCTGTTGGAAGTCTACCAAGAACCACCCATTCTAGTTTCTGATCGCCTTTGTCGTGTTTGTAGATTTTTAGTCAATGCCTCGATCCCAGCTCACTCCTGAGGTTTTTCCAAGGAAGCGGGTTGTTTTAGAACCGAGTCTGCATTTTGCACCTTGTCTCCAGCCTTCAGTTTGCATTTTACCCTAAGTCTGCACTTTACCCACGGTCTGCAGTCTGCAGTCTGTGTCTTACGCTGACCGCTTTTTTAATACCGATACATTTTTGGTACGTGATGCGTTGCGTGCCTTGTTTCACACGTTTCTCCAGAAGTGTGATTCCACCGGTAAAAACTCAAGTCTGAGCCAGATTATGGCATTCCCTTCGCTTCTCAAGTATTAAAAAAAACGAAACGCTTTCATTACGGCTCAAAATAAAAAAAAAACCTTTGATCACTCTCCAGCGAAATATTCTGCGAATGTGGGAGAGTCCCTGGTGTTTATCAAATGCAAACTTTAAATACACTAACTGTAGACAACCTTTATCTAGGAATAGCGTTTGACCTCGTTTCTTGATTAAATAATACACTTATCAACTAAAGAGTCCGGCTAAAGAGGAGGAGTGAACTCCAAATTTGTTGTTTATTTTCCATTTGATGGGAATTTATCGTAGCCGACGTCGACATTTCAACCGTACCAAATTATTCCGTCATACTCCAAACTCTAAACGGCGATAAATGCAAACCAACGGTAACACTTTTTGTGCTATATTTTCGATTTCTGGTAAAATCAAAAAATACTGACTTGGTTGGTCAAACTTGTTTGTCCACACGTTATTTTTTTTGATGATATCTTATGTGCCAAACAACTGAACAACAATAGTTGTAAAAGTCTTAGGGTCGGGGTTCTCTTATTTTTCCTTGCTTGGCTGTATAATTAATTCGTCCAACGGCCCTGTCCCTGTTTACCTCATCAGGACTCGATCCAAGGTCCCTTGACCCAGGAGTCTAGCGCGCGGAGCGGGACACCATGTCTTTCATTTCTAAAAATCCAAGGAACACTCTCAAGTAGTGGTGATTTTTTAAGTCAAAACAAAGATGAGTGAAACAGAGCAATTGAAACAAACAGACGTTTATTATTTTTAAATTTTACTCGTAAGTTAGCTGTGATCTAAGAAACGCGCACGTGTGGGTGCGTGTGCGTGCGTGCAAGGTTGTCGAGTGTTTGTTTGTTTTTTTTGGCTAGTTTACAGAAGCCACCCTGTGTGCATTTGACAAGACTCAAATCAAGACTTGTTAAGGAAAAAATCCCTGGGTTGTCTTGAATCTGACGCCCACTGTTTCCTCATGCCTCCATACATGTATACACCCTGGGATATAAAAAAATCCAAAAGAAATAAGAGGTTTAGCGAATGAACAAGACCACGCAGGAGAATCTGGCGAGAGGACTGTGTCTAGTTAGTTCTATATTATAATAATTATAACTACCATTATAACTATCATAATTATTATTAGTATATACCACACAAACGAATAATGCTTTTCACGCGCGCTGATTATTGGGACCTACTATTCACCACCGTTTTATTTCAAGGTTGGTTGCGTAAAGAATTAAAACTTTCCCCAGCCAGATATTCAGGATATTTCACACGAACACAAGCGATACATTCATGACTCGGATACAAAACGTCAATCATCATTGGTCGAGGAAATAAGGAGTTTCATCATTGATCATGATGCAAGTGGATAAATCATTGTTAACAAAATGTTTGAGTCTTTTACTTACGGCGATGAAAAACTGCCTGTATTTGTACATTTTCGCATGGTTCCAGTGTACGGGTTTCCTTTTCGACAGCACTTGCCGTTATTGCCCTCACAGCCCGTTCCTCCAAGTGCAACACACGAGCGACGATGCAGATAGTTCTGTAACATTGAATTGAAACAACTAAATATTTCTTTCCGAAAAAACCCTTTTGGCTGGTTAGATGTGGTCAATATATCATGCTTAAGACTTAATAGATTCTTTAAAGAGCAGAGATGACATTTAAGAGCATGAGTTCTTCAAAATTGTTTTTTCTCGACATATTTGTCTAAGGGTGACTATAAAACAACGCTTTTAACGATGCATGCCAATCAATAAAACAAATGCGTCATTTTCCATAGAGAGAGGAACCAAACAGTGTAGATTAGACAACCAATGCCATAAGTTATTGGACGTAATTGATACTTTTGCCAGACGTCACCACGTTATTCATAATTTGGATTAACTTGACCGTTCAAAATTAGCTACGTATTGCACACTTAATTTCTCCCTTTTCTTGTTAAAAAATCCGTTTTGCTCACAGACAGTGACGTTCAATTTTTCCAAGAAGGGGAAGAAAACCAATATACGAAAAGAAAACCAAAAGTTTCGTATTCAATGGCTTTTTGATAATCGTTTCTCTCGCGGCTGAGAACGAAAATCGACAATTGGACGATTTGCAACAGGCCGATTTTGGCCGCTTACCGGAAAGACTTCTTCTGTCGGTAAGGATAAAGTCAGTAAATATGAAAATTACGCCCATTGTTGTCTTTGTAATCGTGATTCAATACATTTTTCCATCTTGAGCCTTAGCGCCAAGGCACTTTACGATTGTCGATTCTTTTATTTTCATTTATTAATGAAGTCGGCTTTTCTTGTCACTAAAGGGCTATGTTTTTACAGTGTTTAAGGGGGAGAATAAAGGAAATTGACTTCTAATGAGGGGAGATCATTAGAATTCTACCCCCCCCTTCCCCGGTCAGGTGATAAATAATAACCAATCCCTTGGTGCTACAAGGGCGGAAAGCAGAAGCTTTATTGGCGACTAACGTCACACCCTTTCTCGCAAATTTGTCTCTCGTCTTAATCCTTTTGTGTTGGAAGTCTATCTATAACCACCCATTCCAGTTTCTCATCGCCTTGGTAGAATTTTAGTCTCCCTATATCAATAAACCAACCTTTAAGAATTGCCTTTGGTAACGTTCAGTCTCCTGAAGTCGCGGCTCTGGTAATCTACGCGCCTCTGCCATTAGAACACAGGAGATCACCATGAAAACCAAAGCCAACTTCAACATCGTGTAAAACGTCACGTAAATCTCTGCAAAGGAATATTTATAGTCATCTCCTTCGTGGGCGGTTTAATTGGTAAAATCAAGTATATACATGTGCTGTATATGTAATTAGTTTCACTTCACCATCCTTTTGTACCTTCATTGATACTTTTTACACGCAGTAAATAACATTGGTGAATCTCACCACCTTTCGCTGCGAATTTTCTCCTGCTGTGAAGAGAACTTTTCTGAACTTTATACCTGAAAAAAATTCTCCACGACACCTAAAATTCGCGGCAATTCTGCTCTGAGTTCACCTCGTAAATCTGCATAAAGTGTAGATTCAAAATATTCCCGATACTCCGGTCATCTAACTCTGGATAATTAACTTCTTGGATTAAAAAATAACAATGAGTTTTCACACTCTATCCCTAAGGAATTCTCAACTTGAGATTAAACGATTATAAATGAACATAAAAGCTTTACCATTAGGCTTCAAGTTCGCGACTTAAATTTGCATGAAGGACTTAGATAAGTTGGCTGTGATGCACGCATTTTCACTTTTGGTTTGAGTGGTATTGAAAATTGCAAACCACTGAAAAATAAAACTACAAATCATAATACTGATGAAGTAAATTTTGCTTGCTCGCGACGTGTGAGTTTGTAGCTCAGCTGTTAGTGACACCCAATTGAGTCTGGGAGGCACGAGCTCAAATCCCATCGAAATTTGGACTTCTTTTCTGAAATTTATTAAAATTGCATCACACTTGCGAACTTCATTTCTTCAATTGCCGAAACGACAGCTAGAATATAACGACCAGTTATTTGAAGAAAATGACAACTTAGGCTGCGGTGTTAGCCGATCCGTGCACCTCGAGATTTCTCCATAAGTGAAATGTTTGAAGTAAGTAAATGTTTTTTCAATGGTCTTTCTAGGCCTACTTTACACTTTTCATGAAACTCTGATAGGACTTTCAGATGTAACATCCAGTACGGTGCTTTTAAGAGTTATAAGTTTTCAAAACTTACCTCTGAAACAAACTGAAGCAATCCACCTCACTAACTTTCTCGAACTTTCAATGCGTTGCCTTAATAACTGATTAACAAGCAACCCCCCACAGTCAAACACAAAACCGTTAACACCTAAGATATGCCTAAAATGTTAATTGTCCAGCAGTCAATCACTAACGAGATCTTTAAGACACTGAAAGCACCGACACCAATGGACTGGTTTCATCGGTCACGTAACCATTTTTGATTCAAAACAGCTTCAAAACACCCTCTGTCTTATCGTAGTTAAATTTTAATATTTGTTATCCCTTTGTATGGAGAGCCAAAACCAGTCAGAGGGATGTTAGGAATAGTGACAAAAAACCTTACCTTTCAACCGTACCAAATTATTCCGTCATACTCCAAACTCTAAACGGCGATAAATGCAAACCAACAGTAACACTTTTTATGCTATATTTTTAATTTCTGGTAAAGTAAAAAAATTCTTGATTTTAGTCAAACTTGATTATCCGCACGTAATTTTTATTTTGGTGATACCCTCTGTGCCAAACAACTGAACAACAATAGTTGGGGAGAACAATGGAGTCGGGGTTCCTTTTGTTCTTATCGTAACGTCTTAATACCTGAAAAAAATCTCCAAGACACCCAAAATTCGCGGCAATTTCGCTCTGAGTTCACCTCGTAAAACCGCATAAAGTATACATTTAGAAGATGCTCAATACGCTTGTCATCTACCTCTGGATAATTAACTTTTTGGATTAAAAATGACGATGAATTTTCACACGCTATCCCTAAGGAATGCTCAACTCGAGATTAAACGATTATAAATGAAGATGCTGACAGAAGCGTTACCATAAGGCTTCAAGTTCGCGACTTAAATTTGCATAAAGCATTTAGACAAGTTGCCTGTTATACACGCATTTTCACTTTTGGTAGGGGCGGCATTGAAAACCGCAAACGACTGAAAAATAAAACTTCAAATCAAAAAATTGAAACTACGCATTTATTTCAACCGTACCTAATTATTCTTTAATACTCCAAGCTCTCAACGGTGATAAATGCAAACCAGCAGTGACTCTTTTTGTGCTATATTTTCGATTTCAGGTATAATAAAAAAAGACTGTATCGGTTGGTCAAACTTGATTGTCCACACGTTTCATGTTTTGGTGATACCCTATGTGCCAAACAACTGAACAACAATGGTTATTTAAGTCTTGGGGTCGGGGTTCCTTTTGTTCTTATCGTAACGTCACACCCTTTCTCGCAAATTTGTTCCTCGTCCCAGTCTGTTTTTGTTGGAAGGCTTTCTATAACCACCCATTCCAGTTTCTCATCGCCTTTGTAGATTATTAGTCTCCCTCTACCAAAAAGCCAACATTTAAGAATCGCCTTTGGTAACGTTCAGTTTACTGATGGCGCGGCGCAGGTAATCTACGAGCCTCTGCTATTAGAATACAGGACCCTTCGACCTGTCTGGCTCGGGTGGCCCTAGATCATAATGATAACCAAAGCCAACTTCAACATCGTGTTAAACGTCACGTAAACCTCTGCAAAGGAATGTTCAGCGGTCAGCGATGGCGGTCGGTCAACTAATTTTTAGCTCCGTTCTTATGTTCACTTTCCACGTGTTTTTACTGTTCAGCTGCTTGAACAATCTAAGCCACTACTCTAATTGGCGGTTTTCCTCAATTGGGCATGGATTTGACACACCGGGAAGCGCCCCAGAACCTTCCTCGATGCCTTATCTCGATCCTAGTAGTTTTTGCACAAGCGACTAAATACAGGAATGGCTCCGACCTGTGATTGGATGATAAAAATAGTAAAAGTTCATAAGTTATATCTTAACTCCTTGCACGTGAGTATTGTTAACCGCGTGTACCGAAGCGGAACAATGAAATATCGATGCGTAAACACCGACGTGTCAAACAAGAAATGGCTACTTACATAGCGAAGATAAGGCAGAGTCTATCTTCTTCAACTAGGTCGTTCAGCGATATTCCGGCGATGAAAAAGTCATCCGCTGCCAATTTCCGCTGACAAAACTAATTTAGTCTGTCTAGGCGGACGACCAGAGACTGGAGCCATTCCTGTATTTCACCGCTGACAGGAATGGCTCCAACTCATGCGTATATTAATTTTTTGGTTTTAGGCTAAATAATTTATATACAGATAAAAAGTGAAAGAGCTATTTATTAGGTTCTTCTTATGTTGAAGTCTACAGTGCTTGCAAATGAAGCCCTCTTTTATTTCTACAGGGCCATGTAGTTTCTAAGTTTTAAAATAATGCAGCAACTGCATACCATGTTTGAAAGATCACGCAAGGTTGCGTGACGCTGCCACCGATGTTTTTAATTTACAGTATGGTCTACTGGAGAAGTATGGCTTGCCCGCAATCGAGGGAATTTTTTTCGTGGAAACGGATTTTCTAGGTAATTGTTCACATGAAGGACAAACCCATTCATCGGGTTCTTGATCTATTTTTGCACAACACCCAAAGTAAGAAAGTCGCGGATTAATTTTGCTTGGTAATTTCTAACAACTCCACTAGACCTAAAAAAGGAAAAAAACAAAACAAAACAAAAAAAGTGTCTTACCAGTTAAACCAGTGGCAGTAGCCCTCGCACTGAATCATATCGAAGTACCTTGACTGTTTGCAGTGATAGCACAACCAATCTTCGAACAGTTTTTGGCTATAACAAGAAAGAGTAAAATGATTTTATAAAACATGTTCCAAAATTAATGAAGGCTGTTCATCACATGACATAGTATTGGAACGAGTATATCTCATTAGTTATCGTATCACACTACTGTTTTAGACAAGGTATTTATACCACTTAAATTTAAGAAAGAATGAGTGAACCATAAACTACATTTTCTGTACGAGCCATCCTAACCTAATTTGCCAACTGCTTTCCAGGCATCATCTGTAAAAAAACCTCTTCAATTTTTCAAATTTGAAAATTTTCAGCTAAAACCGCGGCTCCCAAAAAATATTTCTCATCTTGCCTAATAAATTTTCAAAAGAAATTTTCAAATTTTCACAACTTTGCCTATTCCTGCTCGTAGGTCCAGGTAAGCCCTTATGGTCACTGGTCATAGCTGCTAACAATGGTTTATAACTATACGCGTTTAGTGTTACCTCGTAAAACTCCCCGAAGAAGTTACGAGAGTTAGACGAAACGCGTCAGAGAATAAAGAAGTTTTACAACTACTGTTCGTACAACACTGCTCAACATTTTAGTTTTAAATTTTTAAAATTTTTTTTTTAAAAATTATTAAAAAGTTATTGAAAAAAAATTAATAAACGTTTGAGTCGGAGCTATTCCTGTCAGCGGTGAAATACAGGAATGGCTCCAGTCTCTGGTCGTCCGCCTGAACTGACCAAATGAGTTTTGTCAGCGGAGCTTGTTAGCCGATGACTTTTTCATCGCTGGAATATCGCTGAACGACCTCGCTGAATAAGAAAGGCTGCCTTCCCTTCGCTACGTAAGTAATCATTTCTTTTTTTACAGATCGGTGTTTTCACTCGCATTGATATTTCATTGTTCCGCTTTGAGACACGCGGTTAACAATACTCACGGGCAAAGAGTTAAGATATAACTTATTAACTTTTACTATTTTTATCATCCAATTACAGGTCGGAGCCATTCCTGTATTTAGTCGCTTGTAGTTTTTGCCAAATCCGCCATTTTGGATTGAAATCATGGTACAAAAGAATGAAGCGAAGGCGGTTTCTCCGAAGACGGCTTCTGTACTCAGCTAACGGAACAGCGTCTTTTAACCCATCTCTCCTGGAAAACAATCTTAGCGGCGACATTCATCCACATCCTGGACCAAACTCTACTTCTAATTCTTCATCTACATCGACGAACACAAATATTAGCTTTCCCTGCAACACGAAGTCAAACATCAGGATTGCTCATTTAAATATCCGCTCCTTGAAGTCCAGGGAACACTTCACTCTGCTAAAGGATTCCGTTGTCTCAAATAATTTCGACATCTTTACGATATCAGAGACTTGGCTGGATTCTTCAGTCAACAACGAGAGCATTCATATTCCAGGCTACACTTTGTATAGACAAGACCGTGGCCCGCACAAACCTGGCGGCGGACTATGTGTTTACATTAAGAAAAACTACAAAGTTTCATCAC